CAAGTCAGGTCAGCCCCAGAACTGGGTAAGAAGAAACAGGTTCAGCTGGTTTTGGCCGGGATTCATTTTTCCTGTTGAGGGCTCGAGCAGGAAAACAGCCAGCTGGCAGCAACAAGCGCAGAGACTGGGAGAAACAAAGGGGAGTCACAGCATCTGCAGAGACTGGGAGACACGACCCAGCATCTGGCATCCAGACACAGGGAGACAAGCGGATCCGACCGCAGAGACTGGGAGACACAGAAATACAGGGGGAAACGTCCCGGGAGAAACGCTGGCGTCCAGATATAGGGAGACAAGCGGGAGACACGACCCCGGAGCCAGCGTCACAGCATCTGGCACCCGACAACCGGAGCCAGAGTCACAGCATCTGGCATCCAGACACAGGGCGACAAGCGGGAGACCACTGCGGAGCGAGTGCCCGCAGAGACGGGAGACAAAGGGAGAGAAGCGGGAGACACACAGGGAGCATCACCATCTGGCATCTGACCGCAGAGACTGGGACGCAGCATACGACCGCAGAGACTGGGAGACACGACCCCGGAGCCAGCGTCACAGCATCTGGCATCCAGACACAGGAGACAAGCGGGAGACACGACCCCGGAGCCCGCGTCACAGCATCTGGCATCCGACCGCGGAGACGCGGGAGACACGGCCCCGGAGCCAGCGCCACAAACAACGGGAGATGGGAGACACAAGCAGACAAGACACAACCCCGGAGCGTCACAGCATCTGGCATCCAGACACAGGGAGACAAGTGGGAGACACGACCCCGGAGCCCGCGTCACAGCATCTGGCGTCTCATCGCAATCGCAGAGACTGGGAGACACAGGGAGACAAGCGCGAGACACGACCCTGGAGCCAGCGTCACAGCATCTATCTGGCGTCTGACCGCAAAAACTTGGAGATGAGACAAGCGGCCCGGAGCCCGCGTCACTGCATCTGACCGCAGGACTAGACACAACCCCGGAGCGTCACAGCATCTGGCATCCAGACACAGGGAGACAAGTGGGAGACACGACCCCGGAGCCCGCGTCACAGTATCTGGCATCTCATCGCAGAGACTGGGAGACACAGGGAGACAAGCGCGAGACACGACCCTGGAGCCAGCGTCACAGCATCTATCTGGCGTCTGACCGCAAAAACTTGGAGATGAGACAAGCGGGAGACACGACCCCGGAGCCCGCGTCACAGCATCTTGCATCTGACCGCAGAGGCATGGGAGATAAAGGGAGACAAGCGGGAGACACGACCCTGGAGCCAGCGTCGCAGCATCTGGCATCTGACGCAGAGACTGGGAGACACGGAGAGACAAGCGGGAGACACGACCCTGGAGCCAGCGTCACAAAAAACACACAGGGAAGCAAGTGGGAGACACAGCATCTGGCATCTGACCACAGAGACTGGGAGACGCAGGCCGCGTCATGGCATCTAGACACAGGGAGACAAGCGGACCCTGGAGCCAGCGTCACACCATCTGGCATCTGACCGGAGAGACTGGGAGACAGGAAGACAAGCGGAAAACAGGACCCCGGAATCAGCGTCACACTTTCCTATTCTCTATACCTCAAGTTAGAACCCCAATGCTTCGCAGTTTGGGGAACAAAGTCTGATGTAGAATTACTGTCATTTAAATCGTGATAAGCACTGTTGATATAAATTTACGAAATCTCATTATATCAATTAAGATAAAAAAAAAATATCAATAGTTAAAATAATGAAATATAAACACTATGTAAAAGAATGGAAATTAAAATCATACAACCCACTTCATCAAGGTCATAGTGAGATGTATAGAAAAATAATTAACGAAATACAAGAAAAATCATTATTTAAACCTAAATATAATAATAATTTATCTGACGCAGAAGGATTAAACAAAGCATATACAAATGGTAAAGGTTTTTTATTGATGGCAATAAACTATATGTTGCTGGGACATTTGGTTAAAAATAATATTGAATCAAATATTAATAATGTTTCAAGTGATATAGGATCACCATTAAACCTTACAAGATATTCAGAACGGATTCAAATAGGGGCGCAATGAAATCTCTGTAGAAATCCTTAAAGTAGCGGGGGCAGCAGACCCCCTACCATGATGTCCGAAGAAGCGATGATATAAAAATCATATGCGTCGCCAGCCGCCTGAAAATCATAAGCGTTGCCAACCAAAAAAAGCATGCATCATGGACGCTGCGGCCGTCAAGGGCGTTGCCAGCCGCCATGACACCGCCATGAAAGTCATATGCGTGGACAACCGCCGTGAAATCTTGTTTGTTGGCAACCATTGTGACACAAGGCCGCGCCTTTTGCCGCAAAACCCCTTGTGCGGGCATTTCTTGCGCCTTGTTGTCGCGCCAGAAATCATGAGCGGTGGCGCCATGAAAATCAAAGTCATATGGGCTGTCAGCCACCATGAGCATCATGTGCATCCCCAACCAGCGTGAATTTCATATGCGTTGCCAACCTTCATGAAAGTCATATGCGTTGCAAACCGCCATGAAAATTATACGCGTTGCCAACCGCCATGGAAAACAATCACGCGCGTCATGGACGCTGCGGCCGCCAAGGGCGTAAACCGGAATTCCTGAGCGTTGCCAACCGCCATGACAGTCATACACGTCGCCAACCGCCATGAAAAATCATACGCGTTGCCAACCACCATGAAAAAGCATATGCGTTGCCAACCACCATGAAAAGAATACAAGTTGCCAACCACCATGAAAAATCATATGTGTTGCCAACCACCATGAAATCTCATATGCGTCGCCAACCACCACGAAAAATCATATGCGTTGCCAACCACCATGAAAACATCATGCGCGTCATGGACGCTGCGGCCGCCAAGGGCGTAAATCTGATGAGCGTTGCCGACCGCCATGAGACGCATATGCGTTGCCAGCCGCCTTGAAAATCATATGCGTCGCCAACCGCCATGAGATCATATCGGTTGCCAGCCTCCGTGAAAATCACATGGGTTGCCGCCATGAAGATCATATGCGTTGACAACCGCCATGAAATCTTGTTTGTTGCCAACCAATGGCCGCAGGAGTGTCGCTTTTCTGCCGCAAAACGCCTTGTGCGGCCATTTTCATGCGCGGCCATTTTCTGCGCCTCATTGTCATGTTCGAGTATTGTCAGAAGCGTGAACTCATGAGTGCCAACCACCGTTGCCAACCACCAAAAGAAAATCGCACACGTGACCAACCACCATGAAATCATATGCGTCGCCCACCGCCATGAAAGTCACACGCGTCGCCAACAGCCATGAACATTCATATGCGTAACATCATGCGCACTATGGATGCTGCGGCCGCCAAGGGCGTAAACCTGATATCATGAGCGTTGCCAGCCGCCATGAAACTCAAATGCGTTGCCAACCGCCATGAAAGTTATACGCGTCGCCAACCACCATCAATAATCATATGCGTTGCCAACCACCATGAAAAATCATAGGCGTTGCCAACCACCATGAAAAATCATACCGTTGCACACCACCTTGAAAAATCATGCACGTTGCCAAGCACAATGAAAAATCATATGCGTTGCCAACCAGCATGAAGAATCATATGCGTTGCCAACCACCATGAAAAATCATATGCGTTGCGAACCACCATGAAAAGTCATATGCGTTGCCAACCACATACGCTTTGCCAACCGCCATGAAAATCATATGCGTTGCCAACCGCCATGACAGTCATACGCGTTGCCAGCCACCATGAAATATTATAGGCGTTGCCAACCACCATTAAAAGAATCATAGGCGTTGCCAACCATGAAAAAGCATATGCGTTGCCAACCACCATGAAAATTAATACAAGTTGCCAACCACCATGAAAAATCATACGCGTTGCCAACCACCATGAATTATCTCATATGCGTTGCCAACCACCATAAAGAAACATACACGTTGCCAACCACCATGAAAAACCACACACGTTGCCAACCACCATGGAAAGTCATATGCGTTGCCAACCACCATGAAATCATACACGGAAAATTCAAGGATGGAACAAATGGCCACATCATATTGTTTCAAAAACCCCAGAATCAACATAGTAAGAAAAAGTAAAGGAATAGTTAAGCGTAAGGTAAAAAAGATTTGAAGTACAATAACGCTGATAAAACATTGAATTCAACTCAATTGGAAGCAAAGCAGGTCAAATACATAGTAAAAAGCAGTTTTGAAAATAGACGCTGATGTACAAAAACTCACTGCCCTATGGACATTTTGCACTGCTTAAAGGGAAAATGCCTTATGTAGATATGATAGACAAGGCGATGCTGTGATGTTTTGGAAGGTGAAATGCCCCAGAAAACTTGTGATTTGAGATTTTGTGGGGTGGAAAATGAAGAAGGTAGAAGAATTTATGTTGTAGCGCCCTGCCTTACCCTTTCACCTTTTGATATTTCCTTTGGGGGGGGGAGCGGATCGGTTGATTTTTGTGGAGAAGGTTACACACATTGGCAGTTTGGCTCGAGGAGGTGTCAGAGCTTATGCTGGCATGCTACAGGTTTTTTCAAGAGCAAAATTATTCTGAGCATGCATTGTAAAAGCTTCGTTCGCTCTGCATGATTCACAAGCTAATACGCTGCAACTTGCACTTCACAAAGTAGACAAGCACCTCCAAAACTGAGCATAGACTGTTCCGATCTGGTAATCACAGGATCCGCAGTGTGGTGCTCTCAGACAGAATTTCAGCCAGCACCTTCATGCGCACTGCTTACACCCGTCTTTCCCTGTCTCTTTCGGCCGGTCCCATCCAATTCGCGTGCAAGCAGGACATTCTGCTCCCAACATTCCAAAAAAATGATTTCTTCAAAATTTCACAGTGAAAACTACCGCAGGCGAGAGCCTATCACAACAACAGCTTTTGCCGTTTGAAGCTGGTGAGATCCATGCTAGCATAACACAGCTGCAACACCAGCTTCTTGGAGTCAAAGTAGTCAATCCTGGCCAGGCCGGCTGTAAGCGCGACAAGAATGAAAGGCGCTTCAGCTCATTCTCTGCAATCCAAGGGTCCGATTCTTTCGGCCTGGCATGGCAAAAATAGCATTCACGGTAGCCGAAGTTCCGGGCTGGCCTGGGCCTCGAAACACTCCCGGGGGCATATAGTAGACCTGGCTGCCGCTCAAAATCAGCCGGGGCGAGCGGCTTTCTGGGCCTGGCGTGATGCTCCTCGGGGCCCGTGCTCCACACGCCATCCTGCGGAAAAAGTACAAGCGCAAGCACCTGAAGGCAAGCAGGCTGAAGACAGCGCCTTGAGCCTCGAGCTGTGGCCACACGG